CGAATTTCTTTCAATATTTTGTTACAGATTCTTTATATTGGGGTTTTTCGGCTTTCATCGCAGTCTTTTTCGCTCTTATTACAAAGGCATAGAGTTCCATCTGATCGGTTAAAATGCGATTCCATGCCGATAAGTGTGGTAAGTCTTAGTGAGGTCTTAGAATCGCATTGGCCATGAGAGATTTATATATTACAATGACATCATATGGATAAAAAATTCAAAATGGCGGATTCCACGTAGGCTATTTTTGTGTGGAGTTTTTACTACAAATTCGTAATTAAAGCATTTGGAGTTTAAAGATCACCGGTAAGGGAATTTCCTCATTATTTAATCACAAAACGTAAATTGACGTCAAGCCATTGAAACTAAGGCGGTTATCTGCGGTTGAAATGCTTTATTACTAAAACTACTTGGTAACCGTTAATTGTTTTACCCTAATCTAAATGGAATTATGCTGCCCTCTTTGTCAAACTTTTTTTGGTGGTAAGCGACACGCGTGTCCATAACGGTGGCGGTGCCAATCAGGTCCTTAAAACGCGAAGATCTGAAGGACAAGAGATCAGTTGACAAGTCCCATGTGCTTGTAATTTCACCAGCACCCTTACCTTTCAAAACTGAAACGCAATGACGCTCACATCATTACTTTCCTGGACGAATTCTTTCACAAGGAGCTCTACTGCTACTATTGCTTGGCTTCTAATATCAAATAACCTTTTCATCACATTTGCTCGGAAACGGCGCCATGACATGTAGGCAAAGTCGACCGTAATATCCTGAATTATATGCACGGCTTTTTCATTACATTATCGCCTTATGGATTTTTTACGTCATGATTAAGCAAAACTTTATTATTCTCGAAAAATCTAAACTAAACTTGAAGTATAACAAAAAAACTAAATAGTTGCATTGAATATTCCCCAATATTTTTAGAATTTGGAAATCATTTATTTTGTATCGAATACATTGGCTGCATGTGCCTGTGCCGTCTTTTATAACATTTTAGTTCCAGTTGTATTATCTATGGAAGAATAGCTGGCAATCTGTATTTAAAAAAAAAAGAATATTATTCATATGCGATATTTATTCATACAAGAAATAAATAATCTTTGTATTTATTTCCTCGCAATTGTGATGTAAAACATTGTATGTAACGGTAATAATTACAAACCTTCAGTTACATAAGCCCTGATCCTTTTGCTTCGGGCTTCTAACAGACTCTCGTTAGTAATTTCTTATTTACTGCCCTTATTTTTGTGCCGATAGCGTCATTTATGGGTATGTTTTCCACTGTATCAACCCGTCTAAGTGTCACTGCTGGGTACGAGTTTCTTTAGAAGGTTTTCTCCGACCAGCGGGTTTTGTTACTAAGTTTTCCTTTACTATTAGAGCAAGTGAATTAAATTGCTTACCATGTGGCGTCGATTGCGTGTCCCATGGAAAAGTGCTATAAAAATAATACGACATGGAATTACTACCCATTCAAGCAAAGCGCTTTATTTTACCTTTCCTGATGCATGCGGCAATTTACAATCAGGGCCGCAGAGTGTCTCTGAGAGACTTAAAGAGTGTTAACATACTTTTTATAAAAAAAATAGACCTCAAAACGTCGTGGGATTCATCTATTTGCCAAGTTCTATTGAAGTCGGTGACCGGAAAAACCGGATTTACCCCCTAGTTTGCCACCCTTAGAGGTGGAATATTTTCTTGAAATTTTAATATGAATACATAAAATGAAATTAATAATCAATGTAATTAATAATGTAAATTGAGTTCTTAGGTTTTCGCGATTGTTACACATAGGAAAGGAAACTATTTTTCCGGATTTAAATCGCGTATATTTGGTTTTTCAAACAAACCGACGTTTCGGGCCCTTTACAGGTCCCATGGTCACGGTTGACTGAGGTGGTACAGTCTTCAACCAGTTATGTCTAATATTAATGCAAACCACCCTATTTTTTTTCACTATAGTTACAATAGTTATTAATTTAATACCTTATTTTTAATTTTACAAAGAAAACATTCCAATTTACGCTACATTAAGTTTTACAAATTATTTTATTGAATGAATTTTTATTAAGTTTAATTTATTATTAATTATTAATCGAAATTAGAATAAACTAAAACATATTAATTAGTACTGCAGTCTTATGTCTGTTTCGGATTTTTCATTAGAGGAAACTATTTTTCCGAATTTAAATCACGTATATTTGTTTTTTCAAACAAACCAACGTTTCGGGCCCTTTACAGGTCCCATGCTCTCGGTTGACTGAGGTGGTGCAGTCATCAACCAGTTATGTCTAATATTAATGCAAACCACACAATATTTTCACTATAGTTACAAAAATTATTAATTAAATACCTTATTTTTAATTTTACAAAGTAATATTCCAATTTACGCTACATTGTTTTACAATTTATTTTATTGTAACAACGTGAATTTTTATTAAGTAAATTAAAACATATTAATTAGAACTGCAGTCTTATGTCTGTTTGGGATTTTTCATCGTAGGAAATACTGGATCCCAAACTCAATAGATGTAGTAACGTCTATCATAATCTTAAAAGAAAAAACTATTCTTCTCGAACATAAATTACATTTCCCCATTCATTCTTGCAATGTGATATGCGATTGTACCACACATTGACATTCCGAGCTCTCTAAATTCTTCTCTGCGACAATTCAAGTTTTTCCTCCTCCCTACAAGTCACATAATCATTTCGACGTGACCTCGTTCGCGAGAACATCGGCCTACATTGCGTTGGGCCGTCGTTCGACCGTGATCTTGGTACAACGGTTGCCTATAAATTTTAATCACCATATCGTCCCACGACGGACTTATTTTGCGTCATTAGGTTATTCATGCTCGTATGCGTTAAAAAATACTACGTAGTATAAAATGCATTAGCGACGATAGGTCATTGACACGAAACTTGATTTATCTATCACTTTTTAATGACAATTACGCGTATAGTTAACGAAATGTTGGCGTACACTTAAATTGCGGAATCTACGAATGAAATAACTCTTATCGTTTTTCTATGGATATAAATGTACGTGTCATTTTGTGGACGCTGGATAAGGAGGTCCCGGGTTCGATTCTCGGTAGGACCATTTTGGGGAAATGAACTTTTCTAGATTAGTCTTTTTTATTTTATGATACAAAGTGACGGGTCGAATAATTCGTGCGCCTGGTGGTAAGTGACATGCCTATCCATGACAGGTGCAGTGCCACTCTGAGTTTTAAATCTCAAAGATCTGAGGGGCACTGCCAATGCGGTCGTCATCTTGAGACATAAGTTAACAAATCCCATGTGCCTGTATTTTCACCACCACCCTCACCCTTCAAAACCTGAGTGGCACTGCAACTGTTATTGTCAAGCATGTAGCTTACCATCAGGCCCCACGACCTGTTCGTCCCATCATTTTACATTATAAAAAACAATAAAACTTGAACCCGGTGCGCATGCGCAAGCTCTGTCTAGTACTAACACTATGTCAACAGAAACTGGTCGTAACATTAGAAATTATACACATTTCATACCGAACGAGCTTAAAAAGAGGCTAAGCAAATCGCTCATTTAGTGCAACATTGACTTAATTGCAATTTTGGCATAATTGAATTAAGACTTAATTAATTACATATTAACATCCTTTATCCAAATTTGCCAAAATTACAATTACATCAATGTAGCACCAAATAAGCGAAATATAATTCGCTAACGTGCGCTTGAGTCGAGATCGCGTGATGCCGCACTATCGCTATCGGCCAATAGCAACGCGCTACAGCGAACAGCTGATCTGCTTCCATTTTCAAAACAAAATAGTGATATTTTCTATACATTTATGTTTTTGTTTGTAAGTTTTTGCGTGTGTGCTATATTTGAAAAGACTTTCTTATACCTATTATATATTTGTATAATTTAGAAATGTGTTTGTAGAGTTGTTTAATTTGGATTTACCATGAGCTTTTTATGAAGGAAAACGTTGTGAGTAAATGAATGATACGAGTGGTGGCTGAAATATCTTTTTTGATTATTTATAATTCAAAAATAATACTGGCCACTATCATGATAAAAAGGAGGAGGTTGAGAACCTCCTTATTCGACAGTATGTTTTTTTTGTTTGTACGTTACGCAAAACTAAAAAAAAAAGGAAAATCGGTTCCTTCCGACCTCTGCGTGGCAGTCCGGCATGGTAACCGTTCGGTCACGGAGGCAGTTTTCAATTTCAACCGGAATCTTATTATACAAGCGTATACATTACCCCTAAAATGAATTTTGAGACTTTGTGAAAATGACTGTCAGGAACGGCTAGTTTATTTTTATACCTCGTATTAATGTTATGTTTGTCACTGTTTGTCATGAAAAAATTAATATTTTTCTGAACATAAATATATTTTTTGTAAATGTACTGTGACGTTAGTGTAACAATGTTAATCTCTTTAAACTTATCTTCCCAAGACACGCTAGGTCTTGTCCGGTTTTTCCGGTAACCGATTTCAATAGAACTTGGCAAATAGATGAATTCCACGACCTTTTGAGGTGTATTTTTTTAATAAAAAGTTACGTTTAATATCTTTAAGTCTCTCAAAGACACTCTGCGGTCCTGATTGTAAATTGCCGCATGCATCAGGAAAGATAAAACAAAGCGCTTTCTTTAAATGAGTAGTGATTCAGTGTCCTATTGTTTTTGTAGCACTTATCCTTGGGACACGCAATCGACGCTCTAATAGTAAAGGAAAACACAGTAACATCTTAATATAAATAACATTTTCATAGATGTACTGTGACGTTAGTGTTAGAATGTTAATAATCTCTTTAAACTTATCTCTCAAAGATACTCTGGGGCCCAGATAGTAAATTGCCATAAAAGCTTGTGTCGGCGGCATTACCCCGAAGCAAAATGTCGTATGTCATTACATTGCGAGTAATGATCACGAAGACAGATTTGCTTACCAATAAAATAAAGATTATATAAAATTAATGTTTTTTTTTTTCAGAAAACGAACGAACAGCCCTATGTCGCGAGGCGTACACAGCTCTAACTAAAGCACTAGCGCACAGCACTCATCATGTCGTCCAAGGCGATACGCGAGGCCACCGGCAAAAACCTCATAAACAGGTAAGAATAAATTAGATATCTTATTTTTTCGCGATTGTTACACATTGAAAATTAAATTATTTTTTCCGGATTTAAGTTGAGCTTGTGAAAGATTTCGTCCAGGGAAGTACAATCAAGCAGTACTGTGAACATTATTGCATTTCGGTTTTTTAAAGCGATATTTATTCATACGAGAAATAAATTATCGTTGTATTTGTTTCCTCGCAAAATGAAATGCATTGTATGCATAGCACGGGCGGTAAAAATTACAAACCTCTAGCCATATCATCAAGCCTTCGATTTCGGACTTCTAACACACTCTCGTTAGTATTCTGTTTTTAACGCCCTTAATACACAATTGTTGCGTAATCAGGGTTCTTAAATTCGAGTACTGTAGGAGATTTTAAGATCGAATTATGTAACGATTGCATATAGTACTTTGTCTACGAGTACAGCCCTATATCTTCTTTCTACATTAGTTTTGATTATAGTGACCCTCCCTATCGACCATTAGGTTACACGACAAGGTCACCATAACCTGTGCGCGCACAGGAACCTTACAAGTTCAGGTTCTGACCCCAGAGCAGCCAGTACACAGAGTTGTCACTTGACTTCATCCGGGTCTCGAGTACCTTCCCTATTTTCCAGATAGGTACCGGAGCTGTAGGCACGCTCACTTCCCGTTGCGCATTGCACAACTAGCGGTTGCCACCGCTAACCCGTCAACTCTAAAGTCCACTACCAAATCTCCTCATTGGTGGCCGTGGCCGCACTGGTACGGCGACAGCGACGCGGAGGGCGACGCGAAAAAATAGGTAGCCGCGTTGCAAAAGCGAGAAGCCAGCGAAACGCCACTATGTCGCTTAATGGGTGGCCCCACCGGGCAGGTTAGGCGATCAGTGGCGACCGCGTTTGTGTTGTGGAAAAAGGTGCGATGTCTCCTTCGCAACTCTTCTCTCGAATACGTCGCGCTCTTTCGCACGAACGCCGTCGCGACAAATCCCAGTCGCACCGCTGCTTGTCGTACGAAATTCAAGTGTCGTCGCGGGTCGCTGAATAATTTTATTTAATGCGGACACCCTCATTACTTGTGGAACGTTTGAAATTTCTTTACGATATGAACAAATAGAATTCGCTCTTTCGTCGTTTTTGTCGTTTCTGCAGTGCGTCCACCGACATATGTTTAAATGAGTTTGTTTTCACGAAATCGCCGCAGTCGCCTAAGGCACGCTCCCTTCCCGACGCCGAAAAACGTCGCCTCTCCAGTTCCCAATAACCTAAGCGGCTGGAGGAACCGGAGGATATCTAGCTTATCCTCTACTAGCTCTAGCTCTCCGGGCTAGTACCGGAGATGCCAGTCGCAGTGTCCTGCGACAATGTCCGGACATAGCCAGAGAATAAAGAATAAGAGAACGGACACTCTCCGTCCTTCCCTAGCTTTAGATACCACACCACACCCCCCCGCACATTGACAGTTGTTATATAATACAATATTATAATACAATACATATGTTATATAAATACAATACAATGTATAATCAATAGCTAGATAAGTATTTCGAATGTAAACATACTCACCTAATCATGTAAACACTCACTAAGGAAATGCTAAGGTCCATTTCACAATAGTTAACTAATGATGTATTACTTAACTAATTATGTTTAACTATCTCATCGTTTTTCTACTATATAATCTTAAACCATAAGAACTGTAATTGATTACTATTTCCTAACTCATAGACATCACATCTCTGTAAAATACTTATAATTTAATAAATATATTTTTTTAAAAGTTCTCTCGCTGCTCATTTGGTAACATTTGGCGCAGTCGGTAGGATCGCGTGTGTGCATTCGAAGTAGAAACGCGGTTTCCTAGTTCTACAATCGGACAACATCGCCGGAAGAACAAGCAAGAAGACCGTGGTAGCTGAAGGCTTTTGAAATACTTCACGAATGGAGCTCTCGATCTGCATATTACTGTGGTGAGTGGCTAGAACTTTGTGCTCAAATTCCTAAATCCAAACTCTAACTCTAAATCATAAATTATATCGTACATACTTTATTCGTTTATATATTATTTTCCATACATTTTTTTTTAAATATGACAACCTCGGGAGATTTTAAAGTAACAGAAATCCCTTTAACCACGTTACTCCAACTTATCCCAGATTTCGACACTAACGTCAACTCACAGGTATACCGATTCATTCGATCATGCGACTCAGCATTCCAACTGTCAAGCATCGTACAGAAAGAAATCCTTTTAATATACGCGCTAAACAAAATAACTGGTCCAGCTTCATCAGATGTTCATGCAAAACAATTCACTGACTGGAACGAACTAAAAACATTTTTGATTCAAAAATTTTCGCATACAAAAACATTAGCACATCTGAATCTAGAATTACAGACAATGTTCCAGAAACCTAGTGAATCAATTACTCAATACTACCACCGGGTAGATCTCTGTAGAAATAAAATAATGGAGAAATTAACAGCTGAAATCTTTGACGTTTCATTGACCGGACGGAAATTAACCGCGGAAGAGACAGCGCTTAACGTTTTCATTAACGGAATCAGCTCCGATATAGGTATAATGCTTAGGACCAAAAACCTGACCAGTCTTTCTGACGCTGGTCATCTCGCGATGCAGGAAGAGAAAATAAGGCTAATGAACAGCGCCAGACAATCGTTGTATCGACCCTCTAGGTCTTTTATTCGACCAGTAGTCGCTAATAGCCGTCCTCCTAATTCTCAAATCCCAACAACATCGACATTCGTCAGACCGCCTGCAGTCCCATTCAATAACAAACAATGTAATTATTGCAAAAAGCCAGGTCACCTAATAGCCGAATGCCGCAAAAGGGCATACAATAATCAAAACAAACTCCAAACTTCACAAGGACAGCTTGCTTTGCCAGCACCAGTCAATCATTTAAACTCACAGACGGCCATGGAAATGGGCTCATCCATGGAAACCGTTTCAGTCCATTACTCCTCAGCCCAGACACCAACATCGACTCAGGGCATGTTGACCCCAGAGAACCTCGAATTTTAAATCAAGGTAGACAATCTGGTCACGCGTTAAATCCAGTCCATCGGGGACAAACGAACACCAGATTGACACATGAAAATAAAACTTCATGTAATAAAATTCAAGAACAAAATCCAATCTCGCTCTGTAGACCAGCTAAACGGTATCGTGATTTCAGTACACAAACTATCGAATCATCGACCTATATTAGCTCTACACAACACAAACGCACTAACTCAATACGAACTCAGAATACCAACTCTACTAACTCTATGCCAAATCAAACTAAATCTACACTAACCCCAAACACTAAATCAAATCTAAATCAAGATCAAACTCTAGATCCAAATCAAACTCTAAATCTAAATAAAACTAAATCTACACCAACTCCAGGCACTAAAGCGCCTCACTCGGAAAATACTAATTCAACCAAAACTCCAACTCCAGACACTAACTCAATTCTACCTCAATCGTCTCAATCCAACGTCTCAACAAAACTCTCGAAATCAAAGAACAAGCGTAAACTTAAAATCAAATCCAAATCTAAATCAAACCAATCAACTGAAAAATCTGAAACTGAATCGTACAACATCTCGTCCCTCAATATTCCACCCGAAAATCTTCTACACTGCAAATTCCATGTTAACGGTCAACCTCTCACTCTGCTGATAGATACAGGAGCCGCTATTTCTGTCATTCGCAAAGACAAGATAGGATCTCATCCCATCAATAGCAGAAACAAAGTGTCTATCATAGGCGTTTCAAATAACGACTCTACTATTCGCACGTATGGCACCTCAGACATTTCTCTAGATCAATTCGCAAAGCACAAATTCCACATAGCTGACCTAAACATTGCATCAGACGGTATTTTAGGCAATGATTTCATGTCCAAATTCAACGTCAACATCTATGTACAGTCCAAAACAATGCGAGTCCGCGACAGATCTTACAATCTCTTTTTCTTAGGCGATAAAGTCAAACAAATTGACAATAAACAATTCATACCAAAACGTTCAGAAACAGTTATTAAATGCTACAGCCCTAAAATAACGAATGGAACAGCTATTATCGAGAAACAGATAATTAATGAAGATATCACCATTCCAAACGCCCTAGTCAACATCGTCAATAATAGTTTCCTGATAACGTGCGTAAACACCAGCGAGGAAGACAGATACATAACAATGCCCACTTCAATACAAGCAAATCCTTTTCAAGAGATTGAACTACAAGATCAAACGCTAATTCATTCAGTAAACATAAACAACTCTCATACAGACATTCAGGAAAAAATAAAAAATTTAGTTAGACGCGATCACTTAAATCAGGAAGAATACAATTCACTCAATAAAATTATTAATAACTTCTCAGACATATTTTACACTGAAGGCGACTCGCTGACATTCACCAATCAAACTAAACATTCAATACCAACCACATCTGAGACACCTATCCACACTAAGACATACAGATTCCCCTTCGTACACCGTGAAGAAGTCAGAACACAAGTAGATAAAATGCTTCAGGATGACATTATTCGCCCTAGTACTTCCCCGTGGAGTAGCCCAATTTGGGTAGTTCCGAAGAAACAAGACGCCTCCGGTAAGCAAAAATGGAGAGTCGTCATCGACTATCGTAAGTTGAATGAAATTACGATTGGTGATAGCTACCCCCTACCCAATATAAATGACATCCTCGATCGACTAGGTCATTCAATTTACTTCACTACACTAGATCTTGCTTCAGGTTTTCACCAAATAGAACTAGACCCTAAAGATATACCTAAAACCGCTTTTAATACCCCGTTTGGACACTACGAATTCCTAAGAATGCCTTTCGGACTCAAAAACGCACCAGCAACGTTTCAACGTGCTATGGACAACGTTCTGTACGGTCTGCAAGGAGAACGATGCTTTGTTTACTTGGATGACATCGTTGTCTTCGCCTCAAGTTTACAAGAACACGAACAAAAACTTACAGAGGT